CAAATAAATTTTTATTTACCATCGTATATTAGTTTTAATTAAATTAATAAAAAAAAAAATTTATTTACCATTGCATGGTGAGAATCAACAGTTGTTTTTGCTTCTCCTGGTTCGAGGAAAATCTATCCATGTACTTCTACATTATACCAGTCATACCAGTGACTGATGATTGCCATTAATTCTGAATTGTGATAGTGTCCTCCATTATCCGAAATTATTTTAATCCATTGAAGTTTGGGATCTATTGTCATAAATACTGCCTCAAAACAAGATGCTGTAAACCAAGCATCTTGTTTGGTATCAGAACTCCAATGGTTATAAGCTTGAACATCTAACTTTTCAGGATTATTTTTATCCTTTTGAAATATTAGAGTCATATGAAAGGTCCATCCACGCTTTCCAAAAAATTCACTTTTTATTTCTCAAGCTGTTGCAGGTAAAATTCACATTTTGTAATCAACTACAATAATAGCTCCATAATTATCTAACTCACATAAAGTAGAATTAAATTGAGCATTTAGGTAGGTCTTACGAGTTTGATGTGCTAAATAACATGTTAATTGTTCTTGGTATTCTATAAGTTTGGGATGATGAATAGCATCAAGTTGATTTGTAAGATCTTTAAAAATATTGAAAATCTTGTCACATTCGTGACACTGTGTAAAATGTTGATTCGCGCATTCTCCAAATGCAAATAATAGACAATGGTTAATACAATCTACATGATTAATTATACCATTATCATTTACAAATAATTCTTTTTCATAATTTCGTTTTAGGTGACAATGTAAACATTCCAATTCATGAATTAAACAATCCTATAAAAGAACTTACATGTAAATATAAATATAATTATAATAATATTAATAAAATTTTAATTAATACTAACCCTTTGAATCTTATTAGAAAAATTTCTTGTAACTAGTTCAATCAAATTCTCAAAAGGCTGATATCCATAATCATTACATGTTATACATAGTCCTCCTAAATCTTTTCTATATTTGAATCAGCTGTTTTGCAAGCGAGACATAAAAGAAGTACGCTTCATTCCATTAGGATAAGTAGCAGAAAATTTTTCCCAAAGGATACTTTTTTGATTTTTTAGATAAAGCACTGGTAATTGAGTTTTTGCATCTACTTTATAAGAACTCATATTTACATTTGCTTTGTCTGTAAAAAAAAGTTCAAATTCTTTTACTTTAACTTCTGACATTTTTGAACAAGTAATAATTGGTTTTTCTAATATAGGACATCTAGGTTCATTAATTCGGAAAAATTTTCGTGCTGTGTTAATTGTATTAGACGAAACCTGAATAATACAATGTAAATATGTAAGTAATATAATTGTTATATATGTTTATGTGAAAAATATGAAACTTCGTATTACCTCTAATTTTTCAATTATTTTTTTATATGTAAAATCTTCTCCAATTATTGATAACATACGTATCTTTCCATTTATTCCTTTAGGATTTGCATCATAACTATTATGAAAGCAATTTCAAAATACACAAGAGGTATCAACTGATTTGTTTAATGAGTCTCGTAAAGATATTTTTAAAAATCCTTCCATATATAAATTGATAATTGTTTCACGATCTTTTTCAGAATTAGTTGCATTTGTCCAAAATTCATCATAAGAAATGTCATTGTTATATGGAGTAATATTTGTACATTCCAATATACGAAACATTGCACACCACAATCGTAATTCTCTTTCAGAAATTTCATAATTCAAATCATATACTTTGTCAAGATGAGTATACAATTCAATTATATTGCTTTTTTGTTGTATCCAATTTTGAAACACTTGATACCATTGAATTGATCTTCTAATTGTTCTTTTTAAATGTAACTCGTATAATTGTTTTATTATTGTTTTGTTATTCCAATCTGCAAGTGTATATTTAAAAATAGATGGTTGATGTAAAAATATTTGATTTATTCTATTTAAAGTTATAGGATAATTTATAACAAATAAAGTTTCGCCTGAAATAGATTTCAAAATATGAGTTTTATTCCAAATAGTATTAGGTGAAATATCTTTATATTCAATAACAATTTGACTATTTTGATAAATTGTTATTAAAAATAAATCTTTGTCAATATATTGATAAAAAACAGACTGTATTCCTTTGTATTTATAAAATAATGATGCTGCATAATTATGACCAGCTTTTTTATTTGATTTTGTAATTTTGCCAAGACAACTAATAAAAACAGTTATGTTTTCTAACTCTACAATAAAAGGAT